GAATTATTTTCCAAAAATTCTCCTATACCTAAACAAAATTTCACGCTGCAAAGTGAAAAAGCTGATCCATCTTTCATTTAGGAGTAATCAACCAGGTTATAGCAGGTTTGAAAAAAAATTGAAGTGGCAAACTTTTAACACGTGTCCGGAGGCGTGGGGGTTTTTAATAGAAAGATGCTTCAATGATTCATTTATCCCTATTCCAGATATCTGGATCCTTACGCGAGTACATCTGAATTGTCCTACATTCCTTATACAAAAGACGACCAGAATGGGATTGCAAAGAAAGATATAATAACGTTTTACGATTTATTAAGTGGCCCCAAAGGTGCCCGAGGTTCCGGTCCTCGAGTAAAGACCCATGTAAAGGCTGATACATTCAAGCCCGTGCAAGATAAAGCTGTTTTCAAAAACAAGTGCTATCAACGTATAGTTCCATTTACTATGTTTAGAGTTCCAAATTCAGGAATGACTACTGAAATTAACGTAACTATAGCGGTCGTACAGTGACGCCGGTAAGAATTAACTGATGAACTTTAATTTTAATTTTCCGAAATAGATGCTTATGTTGTTTCCAGGAAATTCGACTTGATAATTTTAAAACTTTGTTTAAAAATCTGTGGATTTTGAATATTTCATAAACATAAAACGGCAAAAACTTTGTTTAAAAATCCGTGGATAGATATCTTAGAAATTTTAAAAAATGAAACGGCCAAAATTTTGTTTTAAAATCGGTGGATAGATATCCTTGAATATTTCATAAAAATAAAACGGCAAAAACTTTGTTTGAAAATCTGTGGATATATATCTTTGAAAATTTGATATGTATGATATGTATTGCCAATCAAAAATCGTTACATAATTTATTGTGAAACTTTTACAGTTCAATTTAGAGGCATGCAAAGCTCCTCCAGTGCATCAATCTCCTTGGCAAGACTTATCGTCCCCTTATATGTATTGCACAGAGTATTGTCATATTGCGCATAAAACACCAGTTGATTGTATTGTTGATGTATATGGAAAACTTTAAATAAATAGAAGATGTTAACAATAAATATATTTATTTCTATAGCTTTGTACAGTTTATAATAAATAAATTAGACATTAAATTTTTTTATATACAATCAAAAAAATACTTTTAGAATGATTAATTAGGAGAAAACTTTCAGTAATTAGATGTTAACGTTTTATACTATTTTTTTTTGATATTCTAAGACATCAGCCAAAGTTAAAATAGATATTTTTCGTGTATTATCTGGAAATAAAGTTACTTTTATATTCGGTTTGTCTGGAGTGAATAAATCAAAATGTATATCATGAACATCCTCAATGGTCTTTAATATATTGGTATCATCATGACCTTGTGATGAGATAGACCCATAATATTCTACAATATCTACAGCAAATTCATCTAATGGTAAATAATTGCAATTAATATGATTAGAACCGGGTGGTTGTTTATCCATACCATCATTATGAGGAGTATGAAAATGTTGTATGTTTATTTTTTTATTTTTGCTGGGAGAATGTACCATAATATCTGTTTCACTGCTACTAAGAGAATTATTTGATTGTTTGTCACTTGATACTGTAATTAAGGGTATCATAGAGTCACTTTGTTCCGGGAGATTATCCATTCTTTCTGCCTGTTGAATATCATTGATTTGGATTCTATCAGTAATTTTATTTGAAAAAAATTCTATAGAATGTACAGATTTTCTTGAACTACTATCAATTGAAGTTGAAGGAATGAAGGATGAGCTGCTTTGCTCAGAAAAATTATTCATACTGACTGATTTTGAATGTACATCCGTTTCTGAAAGTTCAACTTCCTGGATTTTTTCAGAAACATTTTTTGAAAAATCCTCACCGTGTATAAGTCCTATAGGAACATCATATGCATTTGTTATATTGGTTTCAATTGGTTTGGAATCATCACGTTTTCTGATCTCATTTTTAGATTGATCGAAAATAATATTTAAACTATCATCACTAGTTATTCTCTTGGGAATAATTGATTTATTTTGTTTTTGAAAGGTTGATTTATCGTATTTAGTTATTTTTTCAGAAGTTTCAATTTCGTAATTCCATTGTTTACTAAAGGGCTGTTGAATGAACATATTAAATCAAACTCATCTGATGAGCTTTCAGTTTGATCATATGATTGTATGACTTTGCTACTCGCAGAGTACTTTAACTTTGACCTATTAAATGGAGTTTTACTTTTACTATGCTTATCTAAAATTGAAACAAATAAATCTGTATCTTCTGAGGAAGACGTGGAATTTATTTCTTCCGAAAATGATGATATTTGTTCATTGGCTTTTGAATTGCATATTTCATCGGAAGATGCTTCACATGTGCCCCACACATTTTTATTTTTATACAATCTCACTTTATGTTTAAAAGGTCTTGTATTTGGAGTTGTTTCATTTTGTTCGTCTATTTGTCTATGCTTATTTGATAAATTATTTGATGTTGCAATTTTATCTACAGGTTTTTTAGACTGTTTCTTTGAAGGTGTGTAAGATGAATTGTGAACATGATTTTTCTTATTTTCAATTTGTGCAGTTTTAGTTTTATAATTTGTTTTGTTAGTAGCAGCAGTATTTAATAATTGTTGTGACTTTGCAGGAGAGACTGATTTCTTTTCTTTAGTGTTATCCTCACTTGATAACTTTGATAATTTATTCAAGTTTTTTTTACGATGAAATACTCTTCTAAATCCATTTCGCATGCGATTTTGTTTGATATAAGCAGTTGTATCTACAGAATCAGAACTCTTAGAGTAAACAGACTTAAATGGTGGCACATTATAGCTCTGGGGTTTGAATTCACCAGAATCAGATGATGTATCGAAGTAATCATTTCGCAGAACTATTGTACTTTTGTCGTGAGAAGCTTTATCACTTAATTTTCGACCTTTTCGATTCGGGAGACCAAATTTCGAAGGTGCTTCATGGGTATCAATCCAATGTTTTATAGCATCCATGTTTTCTGATAATAATAAATCAATATATACTTATGCAATAAAATTAAATTTTGAAACCAGTCTTGACAAATCTGAAATGTAGAATTGAGAAAGCACAATAGTAACAATTAATATTTCTGCAATACAAACTCTTAGATCAATAATAACTCCATTTATTATTACATTTATCTATATATTTTATGTTCTATTGTTTTTTGAGTACAGATTATGCAAAATGCGCCAATAGAATTTTTTGTTAATGAAAACAAAACCAAACGATTATACTGACGTTTGGATTTGAAGTGAGCAATACGCCATCTTTGTCTATACTTCTGTCATCTGTCATCCGTGTCATCCTATTCATGATTTGATACACGACATCGTTTTCCTCTTCCATCAGAATCAAAGAAAATTGCATTTTTCTTCAATGTAATCATAGATAGAAGAAAAGTATAATCTAATATATAATTTAGATTATAGATATTAGTTATGATGTTGAGAAAGATGCTGAGAAAGTATGGAAGTATAGTTTCATAATTTCTGAACAAAATAATACTATCCAGATAATTTTGTATTACATAAAATTTAGTTCATATTTAATATATTTACAATTATTTTTAACCCCTACAAATCTTTTAATTACTAAATTTTTTTATAATGTATTGAAGCATAAATAATTCTTATCTTAAAGCAAATAGCGTCAATAATGAATAACAATCATAATTGTAATTATCTCAGAATAATTTAATTAATAAAATTTATGAATAACATATATTGCAATTACATAGCTCACGCTTCATGCAATTAATTGTTTCTTCTGGACTCTTGATATATGGTAAATTCTCTATTTTCAAATACTTCAAATTTCAAATTCTTCAGTTTAATCAATTCCAAAAGTCCTTTATCAGTTACATTGCCACAACTTATAATCTCTAATTTAGTAAGAGTATTTTTTAAGATTTCCAACTTCGCCATTGCTTTATCATCAATGAGAGTACTTTTATGAAAACGAATTGCCTCAATATGTTTGCAACCGATGAAATGATCAAATCCATAACTCATTATGCTAGATTCTGTGGCATTAATTTCTTGAATATATTTTCCTTTTGGGCATTTCGGAACTTGATTGTAATCCTGCAGTTCTGTTTTCGACCCTACCCATTTGACATATGCTCCATTTCGCAACAACCATTCAGCACAACAATGTCTGGACCAACTTCTTTATACGTGATTCATCTACATAATTAAATACTATATTGAGCCATGCCCAGAAATTTCTTTTTTGTATGAAATTGTTTGAAGCTAGGTATAGGTTGCGCAACATTAACATATTTACTGTGCTTATCTTCTATTATTCAAAATATAATTACAATAGTTTCCATAAATTTTTTCATGTTATTGCGTAACTGAACTTTTAATATGATTTGCAAAATGAACAAATTTATAAATATGACGAAACTACGAAAATACCAACACAAAGTAGCAATAGCGCTCAAAATAAACACTAATTACTTGTATAAGATTTATTTCATTAATCTATTTTTATAATTGAAAGAACTCTTGATAATTATAAAAATAATTAAAAATATTATTTAATAAAAACAATTGGCCTAAATTGAGATTTGATTTTGTACTGAAAATTAAATCAGGATTAAATCCATATCATTTGTGTATAATGATTGAGTAATTTTCCCAATAGATTTTGAGTAACTTTCACAGATTTCATAATAAATTACTAGTTCAACTACGAATTTTCTATTTAATTAATTTAATTATTTTTTTTCTCAAACTCCTTATTTTTATGTCTTCATTAAACTTCAAAATTGTTTTGACATCTGTCAAAAATTTTGACAGCTGCGTGCTTTGACAGAAAAGAAATTATTTAACAGCAGTTTGAAACTTCAGTTTATTTTTTTCGCATTTTTAATTTAGTTTTTATAGTTAAAATATATTTGGTATATTTCAACAAAGCTTATTATTAATTATTTAATTTAAATTGATAGCAAATAGATTTTATTTAACATAAGAAATGAATAACAATATAACACCTACCAAAAATGATTATTATAACGTACCTTCGAGTCCAGTTTTCAATCGTGTGAAAGTTAAAAAGATGATAAATGAATCACCATCCTTATTAATAAGAAACAAAAAGTGTTGAAGATTCAGCTAGCAACAAAATTCAGTCCGAAATAAGCACTCATGAGAAAAATGCAACAAATATTTCAAATGAAATATCTTGTGATGTAAGTCTTTTTTATTAGAGAAATCATTTCACTTCTAGTTTTTGAAACACCATAGCATTATTCTAACTTTTATTAAATTAACTTTTTATTTGAATTCTTAAAATCACTTGCTGTTAATTGAAAACTTAATTTGTTGTATATTATGATTTTTGGTTATATATGCAATTTTTAATTTATAAGAAAAATATTGCAAATGAATTTATGTTTATGTTTCATTATTACATTCACAGAAATTGGAACAAACACATGATAATAAACAAAAGAAATATATGCTTTATTCAGAGAAATCTAAAAAGAATAATAGTCGAGATAAGATCAGTATTAAGAAAAACATTTTATCATATGCAAAATGCTTAGAGAGTTTAAATAAGACTGAAAGACAATCAAGAATGAAAGCCAAACAATTACTATCTCAAGGACTTCAAACATTTTCTGCTATTGAAAATATTGAACAAACATCTCAAAGTAAAGAATTAACCTTAAGTAGTTCTTTAACGGATAGTGAGCTTATAACAGCAAATGATCTATTGCAAGATTTTGAAACAAAAGCTATAGATTTCAGCCAATGGACAGGTAATACAGAATTTATGCATACATCGCCAAAATCATGTATTTTTCAAGAACAAACTAACAATGAAAAAAACAATATTTCAAAAAAGAACTGTGCTGAATTAAATTTAGGTATTTTAGAAAATGAAGCAGACTTGGCCGACTTTAATGGTTTTGAATTACAGGAAAAATTAAGTGATTTTGCACTTAAAAAACATATATTTACTTTATTACCATACACGAAAACTAGAAACTGTTTTAGTGAAAATTCAGGCATCAAAAACAAAAGCACCTTATTAATAAATCCCAGTAAAAATGAACAAATAAACCAGCTCGAACCTGATGAATGCATAGATAAATTTACAGGTTTAGATAAAATTGAAAATGATACTGCAAATCTATTGAGTCTCAAGATTTTTAATAACATTTGCTTGAAACGAAAGATTTCAAAAGAAAGTGATCAGATAACAAATTCAGCCAGTTTGGAAAATCATAAATCTAGTGAACATGGAAATATTACAGAATCTGATGCAGATAATATTTCTGTAAATTCTAATAAACTGTTTGAATTTAAGGAATCCCTGGCTGATGGAAGTGATATTGGCCTTGGAATTAATAACTCTGGATTTGTTGGTTTTCAATCAGCTAGTGGCAAACACATAAAAATCTCAAAGAAAGCTTTAACAAAATCCAAAAAATTATTTGAGGATAATGATTCCTCAGACAACATAATTCCTATTAGTAGTGAACAAGTATGCCTAAGCAATGAACAAAGTTCTGGATACCTTCAATCAGCAAATGATAAAAATATATCAGATCCTGAAGATTTTTCAAAAAATTCATCCAATGAAGGGAAGAAAAAATACATCCCAGAGAATAATGAAATACCAGCTAATTCAAATGAATTTAGAATCCAATCAGTAAATATGATGGCAAAATTGCAACATATTTTAGAAAAATCTAAAGACAATGAATTTTTAGATAAGGATGAAAATTATACTAAAAACCAAAATTGTCCTTTCATAGGTTTTCGATCTGGTAGTGGTAAAACAATTCCCATTTCTCAAAATGCTCTAGAAAAATCCAGAAAACTTTTTGAGGACGATGAAATTTCAGCTAAAGATGAAAACTCTACCAAAGATAGAGACAAAATTTGTCCTTTTGTTGGTTTTCACACAGGTAGTGGTAAACAGATTCCGATTTCACAAAATGCTTTAACAAAATGTAGAAAACTCTTTGAAGACAATGAAGTTGCTGACAAAGAATATGAAAACTGTACTAAAGAAGCAAATAGGGACAAAATTAGTTCTTTTGTTGGTTTCCAGTCTGGTAGCGGTAAACAGATTCCCATTTCACAAAATGCTTTAGCAAAATCTAGAAAACTCTTTGAGGACAGTGAAATTTCTGATAAAGAATATGAAAATTTTACCAAAGAAGCAAATGGGGATAAATTGTTGGTTTTGTTCCAGTCTGATAGTGGTCAAAAGATTCAGATATCACAAAATGCTTTAGAGAAATCCAGAAAACTCTTTCCAGACAATGATATATCGGATAAAGGTGAAAATTATACTAAAGAAGTAAATAAGGACAAAATTTCTCATTTTGTTGGTTTTCAATCTGGTAGTGGTAAACAGATTCCAATTTCACAAAGTGCTTTAGAGAAATCCAAAACACTTTTTCAAGACAATGAAATTTCAGATGAAGAATATGCAAATTGCACTAAAGAAGTAGATAGAGACAAAATTTGTACCTTCATAGGTTTTCAATCTGGTAGTGGTAAAACTATTCCAATTTCACAAAATGCTTTAAAAAAATCCAGAATGCACTTGCAGGACAAAGAATTTTCAGACAAAGATAAAAATTGTACTAAAGGAGAAGATAGAGCCAAAAATTGTCCCTTTATAGGTTTCCAATCTGCTAGTGGTAAAAAGATTCAGATTTCACAAAATGCTTTAGAGAAATCCAGAAAACTTTTTCTTGATGATGAATTATCAGATGAAGGTGAAAATTGTTTCCAGTCTAGTGATGGTAAACAGATTCCGATTTCACAAAACGCTTTAACAAATTCTAGGAAACTCTTTGAAGACAGTGAAATTTCTGATAAAAAATATGAAAATTGTACTAAAGAAGCAAATTGGAACAAAATTAGTCCTTATGTTGGTTTCCAGTCTGGTAGTGGTAAAAAGATTCCAATTTCACAAAATGCTTTAGAAAAATCCAGAAAACTCTTTCAAGACAATGAAATTTCTGATAATGAATATGAAAATTGTACTAAAGGACCAAATAGGGACAACAATTGTCCTTTTATAGGTTTTCAGTCTGGTAGTGGTAAAAAGATTCAGATTTCACAAAATGCTTTAGAAAAATCCAGAAAACTCTTTCAAGACGATGATTTATTAGATAAATGTGAAAATTATACTAAAGAAGTAAATAAGGACAAAATTGTTACTTTTGTTGGTTTTCAATCTGGTAGTGGTAAACAGATACCAATTTCACAAAGTGCTTTAGAGAAATCCGAAAGACTTTTTCAAGACAATGAAATTTCAGATAAAGAATATGAAACATGTACTAAAGAAGTAGATGGAGTCAAAATTAGTACCTTCATGGGTTTTCAATCTGGTAGTGGTAAACAGATTTCGATTTCACAAAGTGCTTTAGAAAAATCTAGAAAACTTTTTCAAGATGATGAATTTTCAGATAAAGGTGAAAGTTGTACTAAAGAAGTAGATAGGCGCAAAATTAGTACTTTCATGGGTTTCCAGTCTGGTAGCGGTAAAAAGATTCAGATTTCACAAAATGCTTTAGAGAAATCGAGAAAACTCTTTCAAGACAATGAATTATCAGATAAATGTGAAAATTATACTAAAGAAATAAATATGGACAAAATTTATCCTTTTGTTGGTTTTCAATCTGGTAGTGGTAAACAAATACCAATTTCACAAAGTGCTTTAGAAAAATCTAAAAGACTTCTTCAAGACAATGAAATTCAGATAAAGAATATGAAAATTGTATTAAAAAAGTAGATAGAGACAAAATTAGTACTTTCATGGGTTTTCAATCTGGTAGTGGTAAAACTATTCCAATTTCACAAAGTGCTTTAGAAAAATCCAAAAAACTTTTCGAGGACAATGAAATTTTAGATAAAGATTTAGAAAACTCTACTAAAGAAGTAGATAGAGGCAAAAATAGTTCTATTAAAGGATTTCAATCTGGTAGTGGTAAACAGATTCCGATTTCACAAAGTGCTTTAGAAAAATCTAGAATTTTTCAAGATGATGAATTTTCAGATAAAGGTGAAAGTTGTACTAAAGAAGTAGATAGAGAAAAAATTAGTTCTTTTAAAGGTTTTCAGTCTGGTAGTGGTAAACAGATACCAATTTCAGAAAATGCTTTAGAGAAATCCAGAAAACTCTTTCAAGACGATGAAATTTCAGATGAAGGTGAAAATTATACTAAAGAATTAAATAGGGACAAAATAGGTACTTTTGTTGGATTTCAATCTGGTAATGGTAAACAGATACCAATTTCTCAAAATGCTTTAGAAAAATCCAAAAATTTGTTAGAAGATAATAATTTCTCTAATAATACAGATAAAAATAATGAATTTGTAGATGATTCACAAAAATATTTAGAGAAAACCAGTATATTATTAGATGGTTATGAAATTTCAGCTAAAGATTCTAAAAGCTACCCTGAAGATGCTGATGTAAATTTAAATCTTGGGCTGAAAACAAATAGGAAATTATTTGAAACTGATATATCAACTTCAAAAAAATGTAAAAATAGTTCAATTGAATCTTCAGAGAAATTTCATAATTGTCGCAATTCCAAACGCAAATTTTCAAGAATCGATAATGATAAAGTATTGGAGTCGAATGAATATAAGGAATCTAACATACAGACTATTTTATTAGAAAAAATAAAGCAAGAGATATTACTGATAAGGAACATATTGAATCAAAAGTGATTTGGAAATTTAATAATATAAGTTCATCTAGCAATAATGAGTTTCATGATGGAAAAATTCAACAGGATACAGATTTATATTATAAACAACCTTTATCACCTATTTTAATGAAAAAACCTATTTCTGTAAATAAAGCTCCAAAATCAGATGGTAAATTTTTTGATAAAATAATAAAAAAAAAACAAATAATGATATTAGCACTTATAATATAGATAATGTTAGTATATCCCAGGAAATTAAAGAGAGTACGTCTGCTTTAATGGCAGACGAAATGTCTTTTATAGATGATTCAATTTTCAAAGGCTCAATAGTAACAAGTCCTTCAAGTTTTCTGAATGATGTATCAAATACTCTACAACCTGTTCTAATCAACGCTGATGCAACACAGAATGAGTTGCAAATTCAGCAGTGTACTACTTTTAATAAGAATCTTGGAGCAAGAGATTTATTCAAAAAGAAACCAGAGGACAAAACGAAAGAACGAAATTTGAATAATCAAATAAATAAATCAACTGAAGCACTACAATCAAAATTTAAAATACCTTTAAAGCCTGGATTAAATAAAGTTGTTGATAATTCTTTAAAACGACGTGCAGTTGATATGGATTTAGATTATTCTGTACCATTTGCAAAGAAAAATAAAGAAGTAGAATTTGAAAATAATTCAATTGACATAGAAATGATTCTATTTAATACCCAAATCATATCAAAAATAGATGAAAGGATAGTTTCTGAAGATGTTTGTACTATGAGAAACATGAGTTATGAAAAACAAAAAATGAGGATCAAACATATTAAAAGGAGAAAAATTGATTGCAAACCTTTGAGAGGATCTAGTTTAACAAATAAAATTGGATCTACTGATCGCGTATCATGGTTTAAGCACACTGATGGTGCAGTACCACAAGCTATGATCGTGATACATTATTATACAAATTTCACTTGAAAAAAAATATTATTGATGTATCTATACAAAATATAGATAATTTTATCTTCAGTGCTTGGGATTATTACAGGTTAATATCTGATTTTTTTTTTTTTTTGTAATTCCAACAACAAATCTCAATTTTTTAAATACAATAATACTCTTGTATCTTTGTATTTATTATTTAATAAGAATAGGTTTCTTTTAGACTATTATAATTTTATATTATTTTTTATATAATTTAGTAATGCTACTTGTAAAACTAATACATCTGGCATAGAATGCGGAGATGGAGCAATATTAATTCTTGATGAAAACAGCAATATCACTCAAGAAAGAATAGTGACAAGTTTTCTAACAAGTCCAGGAGTTGATTCAAATATTATTAACGACACTTGGGTCAAGAATCATATCAAATGGATAATTTTGAAACTTGCTTCCATGGAAAGAAGTTTTCCTAATTTATTTGCGAATAAAGCATGCACTCCCCACAATCTAATGCTTCAGTTGAAGTACAGGTAATTTTGCTTTGTGTTTTATTTTGTTTTATAGGATTACATTTTGATTGGAATTTATGATTTATTAGATATGATAGAGAAGTAGATGAAGCTGAAAAATCTTGTCTTAAAAAGATTCTACAAACGGATGACACACCATCGAAACCAATGGTATTGTACTGTGCTGATATATATAAACTTGATAGTAAATTGAATGATACTATAAATGATAAGCAGGTAATTAAATTTGAAATTATTTTTCTGATAGAAAATGTGTTATCTTTGTTTATTTTTACATTAATATAAGTATAAATAATTATAGATTGTAAAGTGATTTATTTTTTTATTAAATTAAAGTGAATTAAAGTAAAATGATAAGTTGAAATAAAATGAATATCAGATATAATACATGCAATTTCAACATTTTAATTATTTTGATTTGCAATAAAATAAATTTTTTTGTTGAAGGTTTTTTATGAGCTAGAGTTAAGCGATGGATGGTACAGTGTTCGAACTAAAATAGATCTCTTAATGAGCAAAATGATCTCTGATGGAAAATTTCAAATTGGAGATAAAATATATACTGTAGGCAGTGTCTTATTGAATTGTTTACAAGGTTGTGACCCTTTAGAGGTATTAAAAAAAAATTGTAAAATAATTTTGAGTAAATAATAACATTTCATTCCCTATGCTAAGGGTGTTTAAATATTTTTAATTTAGGTTCCAGAAGATGTTCGATTGCAGATTTTCAGTAATAGTAGTACCCGAGCTCGATGGGATATGCGCTTAGGGTTTACTGGCTTGCCTCCGATGTTACCTTGCTTAGGAACCATTCATTATCTTGGCGGTGTTATACATTCAACTGAATTTGTCATTGTAAGGCGTTATCCTATGATGTACTTAGTAAAACACAATGGAAAAACAAGTAATTTTTATTAATTATAACTATTCTAAAACCAAATTATTCAAATGTGAATGTTTTATTATTTTAGCAATGCATTCTGAAAAATTAGAATTAAAGCTTGCTCAAGAATATGAAAGGAAAAAAAGTGAAGAGATGGAAAAAATTTATAGTCAAGTTCGGAAATCTTATGAACAGGAATTATTAGAACAAGCACGAAATAAATTTGTTGTTAATGAAACAGATATAAATAAGATTAGATGTGCGGAAGAACTTTGTGAACTAATGAGATTATCTCATGATCCTTCTGCTTTACAAGTAAAGTGCTTTATTCAGATAATCTATTACTATATTCTGTGAAACTTATGTTTGTTTTGTTTTTTAAGAATGAGCTGACTGATTCACAAAAAAATTTAATGCTGGAACATTATGATAAAAAGCGAAATGATATTACCAATGAAATTTTTAATAGGGTGCAAGATATAACAAATAAAGAAAACACATCAAAAAGGAGTTCTTCACAACTTCTTAAAATTAGAGTGGTTCCTCTTTGCAAGAATTCCATTCCTAGTAAGTAGTATTTTAATTTTTATATTAAGAAAATTAAACTAAGGTATGCCAAATTTTATCAATATATTATTTAATTATCAGCTCATAATAAATCGGTGATTATATCTATATGGAGACCTAATGCTTTAACCTGTGATGTCCTAAATGAAAATCAGTTTATTAGAGCTCACAACTGTACTGCCGAAAGTATAAGGTAATTAACTTTAGGTGTTATGTATATGTATATTTAGTTTGAAGTATTTGATGCAAAATTTAACTTGAGGATATATGTGCTATCTATTTTAAATTAAGCATTAATATTTCAGAAATGGAGATTTACAGATATCAGCTGGAAGACAAGCATCATTTAAAATAATCTCTAATAAAAGACGTATCGGATTTAAAACCTATCCATTTCGTACATTTACAAGCATTACAGATATGTACAAAAATAATTTTAATCCTGTTTTTAATGAAATTGATACAGTTGGTGTTGTATTCTATATATCTACATTTCGCAATGCCAGTTCTTTTCAATCAGTATTTATAGCTGATTTAAACAAAAAAATAATTGAAATATCCTTCTGGGGTGGAATTCAGCATCATGGTTATGAAAAACTTATTGCTGTTAAGACAATACTTGCTTGTAGCAATTTGCAATGGAGAAATAAGAATAGTGGTCGTCAAATACTTTATCTCTATGTAACTGATTTGACAACATTTTCAGCAAATCCGCAACAACTACATTTGCAAAAGGTTTTCAATTCTTTTGAATTGTCTTTAAAAAATACTATGGAACAATTTGTAAATGAATGTAAGCAATCTTTATGGGCATCAAAAATGTCCCCTAATACTTCGACGAATTTTACTCCTGAAAGAAAATATTCTCCATCAATAAATATGGAAGTTGAAAGTAAAAGAACACCACCAGTTCAAAAAAGGCTTGATATGTTATCTACTCTTCCTGAACCTCCTAAATTATCACCAGTTTCATTTAAAACTCCTACTAAGAGGTTTACCAAACCTTTTAAACCTCCAAAGCCAATCCTGGATAAAATGAATAATAATACAAATATAGAAAGTGGAAGTCCACCTTTGAGCTTAGAATGAAAGAACATTTTAATAAAATAAAATGCTACAATGAATTGTGATATCTTATGAATAAAATATTTTTATAATTGTTTATACAGTTTAAAATTATGTTTTGTATTTTTATATATTTATTATGTTAAATAAACTTTGATAGTTATAAATTCGTTAGTTTTTTCTAGAATTGAATAAATCTAAAATTGAAGCATTAAAACAATTCTTACAGTAAATTATTTTTTTCATTTGCTATTTTGAATTTGCCTCTCGATTTAGTTCGTCACAAACGACACTGTGGCGCTGCAGGACTCATCTGACAGTTGTTTCAGAAACATATGACCATCGACGAACATCAGTTGAAGCTTGGTTATGATCAGAGAAACACTAATTGCATGTAGCATTTTGTCTGTGTAAATGCTTACGACCGAAACTATTTAATATTCTATTTTTACAAATAAAGACCTTCATTTTATAGTGTAATTCATGCTATTATGAATCAACAAATAGTTAAATAAAATATTCGTTATGAGTGGAAGTGATGCTTCAGTAAAATTTGCATTGTCAAAGGACCATGACGGTTATTTTAAAAGTGCTTTTGCAAAGGATCTCATTAGTAATAAATCGAACAATATGTACAATTCTAGTGTTTCGTTATTAAATTCTGACGATATGGATATTGTGAGTGATCCTGAAGATATTCATGTGCAATTTGGACTTCAGAAGACGCCGAATTCATTTATATGGCAGAAACAGGTAAAAATTAATAAAAGATTTTAATTTATTATGTAATTAATTTAAATATTTGTTTTATATGAATTATTTTAATTTTGGTGGCGTGGTGTATTAAATATCCTTGGCTTGAATTTATGGAAAAAGGGGTCCGGTTAACGTTTCGTAGGAAACCTTTTTAGTTGACAGGTAAATAGTGTCCTGTTTAACTCAACATTGTGATATTAATATCATTTTCTGTTGTAATTAAACTATTTTGATTTTCATATTGCAAATCAACAATAGTTCATCTAAAGAAAGCGGAAATTTGTACGTTCCGGTGTTATAATTCTTTGAAGTCTATTATTCCCTGTACATTTGTTGAAATGTCTTCTATTTGCCTTTAATAATATTTATACTGAATTATTTAATATTTGTTTTCGCAACATATTCCTTGGCAGTACATTGAGATTTTTTTGATTTCGTCTAGATTTCTGCTTGTTATTCAGATTACATGTACAAATCAGACCCTTTTTCATGTTTGTTTTGTATAATTTAAATTATATACTATGAAATACGGCCTTGGTGCATTCATATGAAAACTGGAGCATTTCCTGGCGTTGCTTTTCAGTCTGTAAAACTAGGTTCAGATCTGAATAAATTAGTAAAATACAACAGAAAAGTTATAAATTTCAATTTGATACTACATTGATTTACTACTTGCAGAAATTATAAGTTTCACGTGAATATATAAATTAATAAAATTACTGAATATACAATAATATTAACAGTAGAAATGCATTAAATTGCACGCAATATCGTGTGAAATGGGGGAAGATTCTAGATTAAAACTTCTACGCAATGCAGAATAATACTGCAGTTAATTTGACCTTTTACTCACAACAAATTTCTTGTATAGAAATTATTTAAATAGAAAATTCTACAATACTTTAGTACATATTTTGTCGCAGAAACCGTATGTTGTAGGTAAAGTTTAAAGGATATTGTGTTTTCGCCCTGGTATTTAAATGATTTTGATGTCATTTTATAGGTCATTTTGAAAACTCCCGATATACCAAATTTCAGCTCCCTGGCCCATCATTTGGCCAAGATATCATTGAAAATATGCAAAAGGTGACCCCTTTTTCAATGTCACCTTTTGTTGCAAATATAAAAGATTACGACAAACAAATAACGCGATTCTATTCAGATCGACTTTAACTTTTCTTAAGATAAGTTATAGTAATCGTCCCAAAATCGAAATTGAAGATTTCTGCATATTTTTACGTTTCAAAGGTTTCTGAACATTTTGGCATATTTTTGGTGTTTTGTGTGGATACATTTTTTTCACACGATTTCGGGCGCACGGTTCATCGATTTCAAATATTCATAAAACTTTCGATTGCTACTGATGGGGAGACGTGTTTATTAGTTTAGAAGTAGTGATTAGTAAGTTTAAAGTAGGCAAAGTTAGGTCTCTTTTAGGAGCTAAATGTGCAAAAAATGGCAATTTTAGAGGGAACACAGCATTCGATTTGAATGATTCAAAAAACCTTTTGGATTTTTTTTATTCTCTTTATTGAATTACAATCTGTCTTTACAAACCCTTTTGGACAATGATTTTATTTGGACTAGTTTTTAATTAACATCATTAGAAAGGCTATACATTTTTCTTGTACCATCCAAAATTTTGTTCTATTCCATATTCAAGCCCAAACTGGGACCAAAATTTATTATGATTGATCTGTGTTGCCAAGGCATTTTATTGCCAATTATTTTTTCAATCATTATAATAAACTATTAACACTATCGGTTATTTATTATATGTATTATTGTACATAGATTATTACCAAATAAGTTATTACCATTCTATTTTGCAACTGCAAGTCTTTTATATAGGTACTTCAAAATAATACTGTTACCATACTGTTACGTAGTGCATTAAACAAAGCCTAAATTTAATGTCTGTATCCAAATATAGGAATAAGTCATTTCCAATATTTGCCGAATGGTGAAATCTCAGATCTATATAGCTTTTGACCTTTTCCTTATGTAGGTGCCTGCATAAAATAATTTGCAATACTCACCTCACAATGCAAAATAGCCCGCAATCTTTGCCGGTTGGTCCGGATTGAAATCTAATGACTGGTGCGCGTAAATAGAGGAACATTAGATTGTTATGCCTGGTGCAGGTGTTGGCAACCTATGGGAAATCTGTATTTTTGAAAAAAATTAATGGATAGACTGATATTTAAGTGTTTAGTATTTTTTTTTTATTTTATTTTATCCATTTATTTGATATAATTCATACATACTGTATCTCAGTCAGACAATTGTTCTGGTATGAGAGATCACAGCAATTATAACAAAAATCTTAATTTTATGTAACAGGCTTACATTAAGGCATCTATATATTTTTACTTATTACTATTATACACAGATATAAATTATACAAAGTATAATTATTATGTAGCTTTTTCGGACCCTCGATCTTTAAAAATCAAAAATCTTCGAATTTTTCTTTACGCACTTGAATGAGTTATACTAAATGAACTAAAAACAAACTTATGAAAATGTTCCGAACTGTTTCTTCTTAATATTTGTTTTTTTCCTAAGTGTTTAGTATAACTATCATGTAACTTTTGCGGAGCCACAATCTTCAAAAATCCAAAATCTTCGAATTTTTCTTGACACATATATTGAATACTCTATTCCAAAAATAGATTTGAATGCCCAAGTGATTAGATTGAAAAGTTATGTTAGACTCAATATATTCCTAATTTTTTAATTCCTTTTCTTACTTAATGAATAAATTAAACAAAATATTATATCACTTTACATTTCTTATTGTAATTAAATTAATTGGTTTTTCTATGAAATTATACTCATGAACGAGTTATACTGAATTAAATAAAAACATACTTATATAAAAATGTTACGAACTGTTTCTTCTTAATATTAGTATAATGATCATGTAACTTTTTTGGGCCCATAACTTTCAAAAATCAAAAATCTTCAAATTTTTCTTTACACACTTGAACGAATTACACTAAATTAACTAAAAACAAACTTATGAAAATGTTCCGAACTGTTTCTTCTTAATATTTGAAAGATGAGTGGAAAAAATGTGAGTTCTGTATTTTTTTTTTAAAATATTGTGGTAATTGACAACATATTTACTAAAATAGTATTTCAAGCAAATTAGTTATTGCTACTTGAAATCGTTAATATTTTTGATATTATTTACTTATAAGGTATATTGACTTGTAACAAATTCATGAATATTGGTCGAACTAATATTTATTATTTCGAACTTCCTAATATTATGGAGGCGTATAATATTTCATTAAAAATATTAATTCAGTATTTTTGTAAAATACTTATCGTAACTTCAATACAAGGATCTTTGATATTTTAAGTATTTTTACAATTAATATTATACTTACTAGAATAGTATTTCAAGCAAATTATTTTTTGCTGCTTGAAATCGTTTATATCTTTGATGTTATTTACTTGCAAGGTGTACTACTGGCTTGTAACAAATTCATGAACACTTTGTGAACTAATTCTTCTTTATGAAAAAGTACAGTGTTTGATTAAAAAAATACTCATTCTGATTTTTTTTAAAACACCATTGGTGAATTTAAAATAAAACATTTGATATTTGAGATATTAGTATTAGAATTTTTATTATATTTGTTTCATACCAGACATTTATTTCTGTCTGACTAATATATACAAAGTGTAAACTTGGTTGAGAATTTTAAAAATATGCTAAAATAGTATTTCAGGAATATTATTTATGGCTGTTTCAAACCGAAAATATATTGATAAATTTTTTTTATATATTTCTTAACAAGCCGTACTAAATATTAAACATGTAATAAATTCACAAATCTTTGCAAACTTATTCTTCTCCTTCCAACCAAAATATCTTTGGTATTATTTACTTGCAAGTTCTACTAAATTGACTTATAAGAAATTCATGAAAATTTTGCGAACCAATTCTTCCATTTTGGCTATCTTGATATCGAGTAGTAATATCTCAAATATGATCAAGTAGTAATGATATCAGAATTTCTCTTGATATTACAGATCTCAAATATGATCAAGTAGTAATGATATCAGAATTTCTCTTGATATTATAAATCTAAATTATGATATCAAATGAAAATTGCATTTCGGAGACATTACTGCAAAAATAATAAAAAATTGAAACATACTGTATTTAATAAACTAGAAGGAACATTTACATGAAATTCGTGAAAATTTTGCAAGTCAATTCTTGTCACGGTTACCTTCTAAACAGCCATCTGTTAGTGTCTGCATATTGAAGAGGTTCCAATTTCAAAAAAATCATCAAATATCAATTGACAATTAATAATTGCAATTTACATAAAATATTCAATATATTTATTTCTCCAAATAATTTTCTCTTACTTTATCAGCTGTTACTAAATATTATTATTGTGCTTACATAAAACTAGTTATATTCGGACTATTCCCCGTCGTCAATCTTTTGTAAAGATAAAAAGGTTAAATAAAACCATCATAAAGATTTTGCGCCCAGGCATTTGCCGGTCTTACAATACCGTTATCAAATTTCATATTATGCTTGATAGATAATGCATCTCTAAGTCAGGGTTTTCCAACTTTAGTCTCTGAAAGACCTTTTATTCGATGTGCAACATTGAGGCGCCAGACAGTCGGAGGACATATATTATTTTGCCAAAAGGAATAAAATATTCATATATTGGATACTCTGTTCCAAAAATAACCTATGATACTGTAATGATTGATAATGATTTTTTTTTATTTTACATAAATAAATATTTACATTCTATTTTACAATATTTTATACATAAGTGTATTTTTATAACTATTCTTCAAAAAATATTCTTTTCTTTTTTCTCTTAAATTCCTCTCAATGTATGTTATTTACTCAAAACCATGATAATTATATTAGATTAGAGATAGCAGCCAAATTTTAACATTTTTTTCCTTCTCTGATTTATTTTGCATATCTATTTTGATAACTTTATCAT